AATATTTCAAAGAAGTAGAACAAAGAATTCTAAAATGTATACAGAAATACAAAAGAACCTGAATAGTCAATACAACCTTAAGAAAGAAGCACAATGCTGAACATAACATGCTCCCTGATTTCAAACTATACTACATACCTGGAATACTCAGTCACATGGTACTGGCACACACACACAAAGAAAAGTTCCACACAGATCGATGGGACAGAATAAAGAGCCCAGAAGTGAACCCACACCTATATGGTCAAGTGATCTATGACAACGGAGGTGAGAATATACAATGCCGAAAAGAAAGCCTTTTCAATAATAAATGGTGTTGGGAAAACTGGACTGCTGAATGCACAAGAATCAAACTAGAATCCTTTCTCATGCCATCTACAAAAGTAACCTCAGTTCAGTTCAGTCACTCATGAGAGAGTCAGTTCCTAGGCAGGTTGATTAGAAGTCTAGGAGTCCCCAAGGAGAGGAGGGTCTGGAATTCTCAAGGAGGAAGAAAGGACAAATTTTCTGTCCCTCTACATTCCTTAGGATTATATAACCATAATGTATCCTGCTTGAGGACAGTCTCTGGAAAAAATCCTTCTGGCTAATCCTGTTATATTAAGGTGTAAATTAAGTAGGTCTAGTGAGGTCTTCACAACCTCCAGACATTCTTTTGATTCACTGTAATAACTAATTAGACAGTATATAATTCCATTGCTAACACTAGCAAGGGGGTACTCTTTCTGCCCCCTTCTGATGCCTATGCCAGAAGCTTTCTCTATCTCCTTTAGTAAGTTAGTTCAGTCGTTCAGTCATGTCTGACTCTTTGCAACCCCATGAATTGCAGCACTCCAGGCCTCCCTGTCCATCACCAACTCCCAGAGTTTACTCAATCTCATGTCCATTGAGTCAGTGATGCCATCCAGCCATCTCATCCTCTGTCATCCCCTCCTCCTGCCCCCAATCCCTCCCAGCATCAGGGTCTTTTCCAATGAGTCAACTCTTCCCATGAGGTGGCCACAGTATTGGAGTTTCAGCTTCAGCATCAGTCCTTCCAATGAACACCCAGGACTGATCTCCTTTAGGATGGACTGGTTGGATCTCCTTGCAGTCCAAGGGACTCTCAAGAGTCTTCTCCAACACCACAGTTCAAAAGCATCAATTTTTCGACACTCAGCTTTCTTCACAGTCCAACTCTCACATCCATACATGACCACTGGAAAAACCATAGCCTTGACCAAACGGACCTATCTCCTTTATACTTTAATAAAACTTTATCACACAAAAGCTCTGAGCAATGAAGCCTCGTCTCTGGCCCCGGATTGAATTCTTCTCCTCCAGAGGCCAAGAATCCCGGCGTCTTTGCGTGTTCAGCAACAACCTTTCACTTAGCCGTGTCCAACTCTTTGCAACCCCATGGACTACAGCACGCCAGGCCTCCCTGCCCATCACCAAACCTCAAAATGAATCAAATGCTTCAATACAAGATCTGAAGTCATGGAACTCCTAGAAGAATATATGGGCAGTATGCTCTTTGACATGAGTCTTAGCAATATTTTGGGGAGATCTCTCTCCTCAAACAAGGAAAATAAACCACTGGGAATCCATCCAACTGAAAAGCTTTTGAACAGCAAAGGAAACCACTCACAAAACAAAAAGTTACCATACTGAACATGAGAAAATATTTGCAAAAATAGAGAATGAAATCTTGTGACAAGAAGAATTGACCTAGAAGATATTATGCTAAGTGAGATATGTCAAATGGAGAAAAAGCAATACCTTATGATGTCATTTATATTTGTATAGAATCTACAAAATGAGCAAATGGATGCAGAAATCCCAAGAATATGCTCATGGTTGCTAGGAAAGAGTGGTAGGGGGATGGCTGCAATAGGTGAGAAAGATTAAGAGGTACAAAATTCCAATTATAAAACAAAGGTCATAAGAATGTAATGTACAAAAAAAAAAAGAATGTAATGTACAGCATATGGAATACAATCCATAATATTATAAAAACATTGTATGGTGATGAATGGTAACTAAACAAATCTTGATGATCATTTTGTAGTGTATAAAAATATTGAACCACTAAGTTGTATTCCAGAAAGCTAATATAATATTGACAGTCAATTATATGTCAATCAAAAAAAGAAGAAAAAATACTATCTTAGAAAAGAAAGAGTGCAGTGAGGTAAAAAGCAAATGTCAGATGAAACTGTGAAAAGATGTTGTTGAAGAGACCATATACGCTGAAGTTCAGCTCTCAAGTAGCCCAGATAAATTGAAGGACTCAAAGAGGTAAGGACATTTGACACTACTAGAGAACTTGCTTGTATCTTTGCTTAAATAAACATTATTATCTGTTTAAAGAAGTATTGTTGTTGTTCAGTCGCTAAGTCGTGTCTGACTGTTTGTAACCCCATGGACTGCAGCACACCAGGCCTTCCCATCTCTCACAATCTTCTGGAGTTTGCCCAAGTTCATACCCATTAAATCCATGATCTCATCCAACCATCTCATCTGTAAAGAAGTGTTGAGTTCAAAGAAAAATTGGGTAAGGTACAAAGAGTTCCCATAAGCCCTCTGCTGTGACCTGGTTGATTCTCGCATCACCCTCTATGGGTGCTCAGAGCCTTCCACATCCAAACTCTCCTATCAACATCCTGTGTGGTGGTCACACATCATGATCATCAGAGTCCAGAGTTTACTTTAAGGTTCACACCTGGTGTTGTACATTCTATGGGTTTTCACAAATGTATGTCACCATGAATACATCCTACTGAATAATTTCACTGCCTTTAAAATCCTCTGTGCCCAGCGTATTTATCATTCCTCACCCCTTAACCCTACCATGAGCCCCTTACATTCCCACTGATCGTTTCACCCTGTCCATGGTTTGCCTTTAAATGTCATACATAGTTGGTACTCTATGGTATGCCACCTTTCCAAATTGACTTCTTCCAGTAAGTAATATGCATTTCAGGTATCCTACCTGTCTCCCCATGGCTCCCTATCTCTCTCATTCCTCTTCAGTGCCGAAAAACATTCTGTTGCATGGATACAACCAAGTTTATTTGTCCACTCACCTCCTGAAGGAAATCGTCATTGCTTCTAAATTCTGGCACTTAAGAAGAAAGCTGCTGTAAATGTTCCAGTGCACGTTTTTGTTTAGCTGTAAACATTCAATTCATTTGGGTCCTTTGATTCCAAGTACTTTGAGGGCTGGATTGTATTGTAAGAATGTATCTCATTTCAAAAGACACAGCCCGAAAAGGCGACTTGGGAGGCAGAGTCCGGGGCGGGATCAGTTGCTACTATCAGCCTGGGGAGAGCGCCAGCGGCTGGACTTCCGCGTGGAAACCCGGGAAATTCACCAGCCTCCCCTTCAGGGTAGGAATGCCCGGAGTATGCACCAAGCTAAGAACCCAGAGGGAAGAAGTGTCCCTGGCTCCATGCCAAATGCATCATGGGCCGGTGACCTCAGAGCTGTGAAGTGGTTTGACATGGAAGATAAACACGGAGGCTGCCACGGCCACTATGTCCATGGCATTTGTATCTATGGAAACGGAGACTTAAAGTGGTTGATTAATTCTTCAAGCCTCTTTGCGAACAAGTTTGAGCTCACTGCGTACCCCCTCACTGTGGAATGCCTGGAACTGAGGCTTCGAGAAAGAACCCTGAATCAGAGTGAAATTGCGATACAGCCCAGCTGGTATTTCTGATCCACTGCCACTCGATGTCTGAAGGGAAATCGCCTCTGGGAAGGAGATCCTTTCTTTGGGCGAAAAACTTTGCCTGGGTTATGTGAACAGTCTCAGGGCCAAGGTTATAGCTTCAGGACCTGACTACATAATTACAAGTCAAAATGTCCGCTAGACACTGTGAAATGTGCTGTCAGGATGCTTGCACGGTGATACTGGCCCTTAGGCCACTCTGACAGTTTCTTGAGGTTCACTGCTCTTTCAGGCTCATGTCCTGATCTGTGATAAATTAAACTGTCGTCAGATCTCTGCATCAGATCCTCATCGTAGACAAATGTTCTCATGAAAAGGAGATTGGTAGATAATACTATCTAGGGAAATAAGAATCAAGTTTCTCTGAGGAAGGAATCTTTTATCACACATCTGTAGCCTCACATGAATGGACTCCCCCTGCTTTTTGCTTAGCTGCATGTCGGCATACAAATTGCTTTCTGCGGAACTCTCCAATCTCCTCTAGAACTTGAGCTGCTAGAACTGAGAACTCGGTCTTGTTCCTGAGTTTCAACAGTAGCATTTTCAAATTTCCTGTGCCTACAGTGGTTTTTTGTTTTTTGTTTTTTTTTTTTTTTACATTCTTTACGTTCTGTATAGAATGTAAAGTCATTCACAGGAGACCAAATTTAAGACAGCAGTCACTGCCTGCTACTTCAGTAAAAGATCCTCAGGTAGTTCGCTTCTTGAATATCTGTCAGAGTGTCCTCTGATTCCCTCGTCCATCATTTTCCATTGAGAACATGGAAGAGTTCTCGATGAACGAAGATATTTCAAGAGGGGAAGTGCTATTGCATGCGCTTGACTATTTCAGGGTAAATCACTTCCCTTTTTTGCCTCCACCACCACCAAAGTGGGGCTTCCCCAGTGGCTCACTGGTGAAGAATCTGCCTGCGATGCAGGAGACACGGGAGATCCGGATTCAATCCCTGGGTCGGGAAGATCCGCTGGAGAAGGAAATGGCTACCCACTTCAGTATTCTTGCCTGGAGAATCCCATGGACAGAGAAGCCTGGTGGGCTACTGTCCATGGGGTCACAGTCAGACAGGACTGAAGCGACTAAGCATGCACATACCTCTGAAGTGATCTTACCTGCAAAACGGAGACCAAATTCTATCCCATGAGCCTTTAAGGAGTCCACAGTGTTCTCTGGGTAACTTTGCAGTGCCTGTGGGGGTCATAGGAGTGCCTGGATTTTTAAAAGCTTCCAATTGTGGGAGAGCCTCTTTGTCACTTATCCTTTGTCCCATTCATCCATCCAGTCCATCAGTAAGTATTTCTTTGGTGTCTATTATACACCAGACACATGCAGAGACAAGAAGAAGTGAGAAGCTTTTTCACTCTGAAAATCTTGGCAATAATGCCAACATTGGAAAGAGAATCTTCTAGAACTCCCGAGAATCTCACAGAATGTATCATCCCCCCAGCTCCGGCCACCCCACAAGGCATGTGGAACTCCCCTGACCAGGGATCAAACCCACGGCCCCTGCAGTGAAAGTGCGGAATCCTAACCACTAGACCACCAGGGAGTGGCTGTATACAACCAGAGTGGTTGTATTTTAACACATTCATGGTGGGCTTATGGATTGTCATATCAGGCCCCGGATATCACCAATTACAAAGTGAGGCCTAAATCAATAAAGAGAATATTCCGAAGAAAGAAGGGAGGGAGGAGACAGAGGCCACAGTGATTGTTTTCTAGGCATCCTGCTTTCTCTTTTACATCTCAGGGCATTCAGATCTCACAATGCTCTTGCAAAACTCATACAATTACCAATTACCCCTATCTTGCAGATGAAGTGACTGAGGCTTAGAGAGGTTGTTAGTAAGCATGAGGAAACGTGTTCTCTGAGAATCAGGCTTCTCTTACTGGTCTCCTTAGTTCATTTCCTAAGGTGGAGCATCTCGAGAAGGTGAAGTGAAGCCATATTTAGCATCCCAGAATGGTCTCAGTCCTGTCACATCAGAAAAATGTGAAGTCTCCTTTTGTACTCTTTCCAGTTCCTTGATAGTTATTTATTCTAATGAAAAATAGCAACTATAACTAATGATACATTTAATCCATGCAATGTTACTTTTTCTGCAATTGTGCCTGTTGAATGTTAATCATATTTAACTTAAGGAAGCCCTTAATCATATTTAATGACCTTGAATTTAATGACTTTTAATGACTTCGAAGTAAAATCTGTCTTTTTTCCTGTTGCCGAGAGAGATGGAAGTACACCTGGTGATGAAAAGTCAAGGGGTAGGGAACACACCCAGAGCTAAAGGCAGAATTTAAAATCACCTTTTTTTTTTTTTAACTTACATCACACCACTTGAGAAGAGGAATGCTTTACACTGGATCTTTCTCTTGTATAAGAAGAAATCTTTTGGAATAGAAGATGTTTACATGTCTGTTGTTGGTCATTTGTTCTGTGTCTTAAATTACTTTAATGTTGGGAGAGTTTAATGTTTGGACTAGTGGGTTTCTGCGGGCCCATGGAGATGCCCTGAAAATTTTGTTTTTGATGATGTGCCATGTTGTTTTCTTGGAAATAAATTAATATATTGTTTTCCACAAAAAAAAAAAAAAAAAAACAAAAGACACAGCCCATATTCACAGAGTTTCTGAAGATGGTAACTGAGAGCATGTCTGCCTCCTGAAGACTCAAGACAAGGAAGGGGTAGAATTATAGATGCCAGCTAGAAAGATGACTCTAAGACAAAAACCTTACCTCCACCTTCTTAGAGTTGAAAGCTGGTCCTGAGAATTAAATGGATACAAGACATATTCACAGGAGAGAAGCATACATATATATTCCCCATAAGTTGTATGGGACACAGTGCACCTTCCTAAGGAAATGAAGAAAGACCAAGAGAAGTGACAAAACCTAAATGTTTTTCTATTGGCTTGAAAAAAGAGAAGTGATTGCGGGAAAGGAACTACACTATGTGGGGAGGCTAAGGGTGGTAACAATGATGTTGAATGAGGTCTATTTGTACAGAACTCTCTCATTCTCAATTTTCTGTCCCTGAAAATGATGTCACCCTCCTTCTAGGGAGGCAGGACATCATCAGTGGGGGTTGAGGAAGGGAAAGGATGTTTTACATACATATATACATACACGCATACACCCATACAGACAGAAAAATAGAGAGGTAAAGACAGAGATAGAGAGACTGAGAGACAGAGAGAAAAAATGAACACAAGAGAGAGGGGATGAGTATAAGTCACAGACTTTTTGTAAATCAGTCTGTATATTATAATCCAGTTGCAATGTCCATCCACTTGGAGGGGTGGGGATTACACAAAGATGCATGACCAGGAGCCAGGAACACTGGGAGCCATAAAGGGGTCAGTCCACCACATAGACCAAGATGAAACACTTAGACTTGAATCTAAACATACATAACAAGAGGACCTGGAAGGCTGTATGCCAGAAGGGACAATGTCTGAATTTCATTTAATTTCAACCTTCCCAGGGGGTTATAGGAAACAGGCTGGGAGGAGAGTGACTTTCCCTTGATCTCAGAGTAGACCCAGGCTTGTTGCGGGTGTATTCTGTGCTACAGCAGCCCTTTATAAATGCAATCTTTCCTTTGCTAAGTCTGTCCATGAGCCATGTGTGATACAAGCCTATGGACTTTACAGGTAATATAGGTATATAAGGTCTGATGGTTTCCTGATGATCTCCCTAGAAAGTAGGCACCAGAATGACCCCCACTATTCAGATGGGGAACTGGGGGACCCTGAGAGGTACATGGCTTGCTGAGGGTCACATCACTGTTGAAAAGGAGGAGCCAGGTCTGAATCCAGCTATATCCTCAAAGTTGGGGCCCTTACCACACCCAGGCCTCCCTGAAGCTTTGGAGTGGGTTGTGTTGGTATCACTGTGTGTGGACATGTCATGCAGTCATCAGCTCAAAGATGCCTTTGGGGAGCTTTGTGAAAGAAGGAAGCCCAGGTAAGGGGACCCCATGAAGTGACCTCATTTCCCTGGCAACAAAACCAACAATCTTGGAACCTAAGTAACAAGGCAACCACATCCAGAGATGCTCCCTGCCCAGCTAACTTGAAAACTCTCAAATGGACATGTTATGCTGTGTCCCAATGTTCCGAGGTTGTGGCCTTAGGAGAACCCATAATGAGAGCCTTCACTGACACTGCCGACATTGGGTCAGGTCTCACCCCAGACACCTATGGCTATTTGCCTAGAGGGACCCAAAGGTAGCACAGGGAGGCCCAGAGTGGACTAGCCCAGACCAGGACACCACTCTGATCCCACTTGGATAGTCTTATAACTTCACATAGATAATGAATTTTAGCCTAATTCACTATTGGTATGAAGTCATAAAAGACTACAAACTATGTAATTTGTATTAAAATGCAGATATATTTCTGAGTCACTCAGAAACAGCAACAGACTTTATATTCTTGGGCTCCAAAATCACTGTGGATGGTGACTGCAGCCATGAAATTAAAAGATGCTTGCTCCTTGGAAGAAAAGCTATGACAAACCAAGACAGTTTATTAAAAAGGAGAGACAGATATTACTTTGCCAACAAAGGTTCATATAGTCAAAGCTATGGTTTTTCCAGTAATGTACGGATGTGAGAGTTGAACCATAAAGAAGGTTGAGTGCTGAAGAACTGATGCTTTCAAACTGTGGTGCTGGAGAAGACTCTTGAGAGTCACTTGGGTAGCAAGGAGATCAAACCAGTTAATCCTAAAAGAAATCAACCCTGAACATTCATTGGAAGGACTGATGCTGAAGCTGACGCTCCCATACTTGGGCCACCTGATGCAAAGAACTGATTCATTGGGGAAGACCCTGATCATGGGAAAGATTGAGGGTAGAAGGAGAAGGAAGCAACAGAGAATGAGGTGGCTGAATGGCATCATCAACACAATGGACTTGAGTTTGAGCAAATTTGGTGAGATGGTGAAGGACAGGGAAGCCTGGCATGCTGTAGTCTATGGAGTCGCAAAGAGTGCAATATGACTGAGCAACTGAACAACAGCAACAATATTTCTGAGTATGTAGTTCAAACTCTTGCAATAAAAGTTTTACTTTTTACTTCTGTCTGTAGTAATATTTCCTCTTACCCTTTGTAACTCAGAGATCACTTAATGTACATCTCAAACATAATAGACTTACTTCTGAAGGCACACACAAAAAAATGTTTAATTGCAATCTTTTTTTGGTGGTGGGAAGTTGGAAATAATTGGAGTGAGTTAGGACCTCTGTTTTAGGAAGATAAAGGATAAAGCTATCACAGAAGAGGTTCCAAAATAAAGTGAATCAAACAAATTAAAAGATTATTTTTTTTGAAGTTCAATAGTATTGGATGGTCCAGAGTGAAAAACGGAAGTTCCTTGCATATTGTTGCTTTGTTATCTCCTAGGGATTTATTCAGTCAACCATCATTCAGTCCTTATCTGTGGCAAAGACTGATAATTGCTCTTCAATACCTGTCCTTTCCGACCTTTGAACAAGTTCATGTTTTAAGTACTTGACTGTTCATGTAATATAGAGATTATTTTTCAATCACATGTGGTCAAAGTGTCAATGAGTTGATCATTGTTGAAGCTGGGCGATGGATACAGAAGGATTATTACACTGTTCTTTTTACTTCTATATATGCTTAAATTTTTCCATAATAAAAAGTTTCTACCACAGTTAAAATTTTAAGTGTGTTTTTTTTACCTTTTTAACTGACAGTGAAAGTGACTCAGTCATGTCTGACTCTTTGTAACCCCATGGACTATAGCCTGCCAGGCTTTTCGGTCCATGGAATTCTCCATGGCAAGAATACTGGAATGAATAGCCTTTCCCTTCTCCAGACGATCTTCCTGACCCAGGGACCAAACCCTCATTGCAGGCAGATTTTTTTACTGTCTGAACCACTAGGGAAGCCCTTTTAACTGAAATTTGGTGATTTCAAGTGTTGGGTTAATTTCTGCCATATATCAAAAACGTTCATCAAAAACATTTATACATTCTTTTTCCCATTGTGGTTTATGACAGGATATTGAAAATAATTTCCTGTGCTATACAGTAGGACCTTGTTGTTTATTCATCTTATATACACTAGTTTGCATCTGCTAACCCAAAACTGTTTTACAGTTTTTAACCTACTTGGATCTCTTCAAATTGCAAAAATTAAAGAATTAATATTGGATAGCATAATAAATTTGTATTTTTGCCTGTTATCATGAAGTTATTTAAATATACTTTTTCATTTTTAAAATACCTAAAATATCTTTTTTGTAATATATCTTTTATCATGATATTTCTATAATCACAAATATTATTTAAAATTGAACAGAAAGAGGAATTCCCTGGTGGTGCAATGGATGGAAATCTGACTGCCAATGCTGGGGACATGCGTTCAATCCCTGGTCCAGGAAGATTCTACATGCCACAGTGCAACTCAGCCCACGAGCCACAACTTCTGAGCCCGTGTGCTGCAACTAGGTCCCGTGTGCACATAGATCCTGTGCTTCACAGCAAGAGAAACCACCGCAATGAGAAGCCCATGCAACACTGCAGTGAGAAGTAGCCCCCACTCTTCACAACTAGAGAAAGCACACATGAGCAATGAAGACC